CAGCGCCCAGCCCGGGGCGAGAGGCAAGCGCAGGGAAGGGAAGGGCAGCAGCTGCTGGGCTAAGCTGAGGCAGGGTCAGGGCAGACTGCAAGTCATGCTGATGTGAAATCCCTCCCCAGCCTCCAACACTGCAGCGCATACCCGCACAGAGCCCACGTCGCTGCTCATCCCTTTCCCAGGCTGCACCCAGGCCAAAGGCAGGAGGTTGGGTTGGTGCCCTCAGCCCCACAGGCCAGCAGGAACATTGTACCCAACCCCAGGCGGGAGCGGGGTTGTCCCAGGTCCTTGCACCACCACGCTCCCAGCAGCAGGGCTGTGTCGCAGGCAGGGCAGGATGCCTGTTGTTCAACCTTACTGGCCCATGCACGGCTTGCCAGCAGCCCTCGCTCTCAGTTTCAAGCCCCCAAGCTGGGCTGGGGGGGAGGGGCAAGAGCCTGGGCTCCAGCCTGTGCCCAGGGTGTCAGCAGAGCTCTGCACATCACCTACAGAAGAGGAGGGACCATCACCCTGGGAAGCAGCAGTTTCTCACCCCTTACATCAGGGAGGGAGCATCCCATGGGGCCCATGGAGAAGGGTGGGTGCTCCTCAGACAGGGAGAGGGTGCCATGGCAGCTGACATGCCCCACACCACCACCGCAGCCCCCCCATCCTCCTGCCCTGCTGCCTCCACATCCAGCTTGTGCCATACCCTGGCAGACCCAGTGAGGTCTCCAGGCAAGGCCCAGGCAACCCAGCACAGATCCTTAACCCACAGCACAGGACAGCAGTGGGAATGGCGACACCTCACCCTACCCACCATCCTTCACATGTGTTCCAACCCACACCACCCCAGGACTCCACCACCCTCCATAAGAAGCTTGGAGGAACTCTGTGTCCCCCTGCCCAAGAGCTCAATTACCCCGATCAATATTTGGTCATGGCTTTCACCATCTCAGTCAAGTGGCGTCCCCCTGCCCAAGAGCTCAATTACCCCGATCAATATTTGGTCACGGCTTTCACCATCTCAGTCAAGTGTTAACTATGTACTTCAGATCAAGTACGCCTAAAGGCTTATCCATACTTCACCTCCATTCCCCGCTCACCCAGCACTCCACGCTCTTGTGACTCTCAAAGCATTCTGAAAAGCCAGTTTCATCTACAAACTTGAGAAAGGAAAAGACCGCCAAGGCAGCCACAGCAGCTGGGTTAGAAACAGCCGCAATGAGGGCTGTGAACACCGTGAGGTTACAGGCAACACAACAATGTCAGGGAAACCAGGCTGCGATTCACACGCTGCAGCATGGGGAGTAGGGATGATGTCAGGAAAAAACCCCACCCAAAGCCCCTGCGATGGCATGAGCTTGAAGGCTTCGTCAGGTGAAGCTTGCAGCATGAGCAAATAGCTGATACGCTCAGAATATGGTGCGACACTCTGCTCGTGCCAGATCAGAACCACAAAGAGGTTTTTGTTGCGGTCACTGCCTACCTCCCAGGCACTCATCAGCCTGCGGTTCACTCCAGAAGGAAGCTATGCAGGGCACTGAGCACACTGATCATAAACACATGCTAATTTACACAGGGCAACGAAATGCTATATTCTCTGGTAAATGGAGGTGTTTAATATTTGGGGCAGTGTCACCTCATGTTTACTGACAGCTGAGAGAACAGGTGGTGATCCAGGAGACCCCAGGGCGGGACTCTCATGGAGCAGGCAGCTCTGCCCACCCAGTACCAGGCTACAGCCACAGGGATGGAGGAACCCCTTTACTGAAACAAATCCCCAAGTTTCCTGGGTGCTCTTTCACATGGGTTGTGCTGTCACAAAACACAGGAGCCCCTCAGTGGCGTCACAGGGTTTATTATCCTGTCTGTACAGTCCTTGGTAGATGCAGTTTAGATGATTCCAATCTGGAAAGGAGCAAAGCATGTTAAAACAGATGTTACGGTAGCAGAAAGGCAGAGCCTCCACCACAGATGTCACTGCCAGGGCTACATCTCCTCAGGATTCCCATCTTCCGAGGACAGGCTTCTTCCTCCCAGACCTGCCCAGGTAACTTACACAACCACTTTAAACACTTACTGCACAGTGACCCCTGTGCTAATCCACAGACAGATCCCCCCACTCCAACACATACCACCACCACCTCCTGTTTTACCTCAACCACATCGAGGACTAAACCACCTGCCGCTTCCAGCCACCCGCATGGCAGAAACCCCTCCTCACCCAGCCCAGCAGCACAGCAGCACCCCAGCATAATTTCCCCCCTGTTAAATGAGCTGCCAACAGCACTGGCCAAGAACACTGTCAGGAGAAATGCTGTGTCAACCCAGAAGCTGCAGGGCAGTTTCTCCATCCTCCCCACTAATACTCTGGAGCTCTTGCAGCCCTGTGGAGTGGACACCCTCCCTGGAGGGGTTGAGGAACAGCAACAATTCTGTTGGTAACTTTTCACACCTAACCTCACGATCTTACAGGCAGAATTGCACTTTGCTAGACAATGGGGTCTTGCTTCTGAACACTCGGATCCTGTCTAACTATAAGGGCACTCCACAGAAGCACCACCATGCTTGAAGCACAAATACCTCACCTGTACGCCAGGAAGAACCAGGCACAGGAGATACAACAAGAGCTGCAAAGGCTCAAAGATTTCTCACCTTGTTGGCTACATCCAGCGCATCGTAATCTGGAGCGAGTCGGACATAAGCCTTCTTCTCCCCATCAGGCCTAGAGAGGAACAAGAGGCATCAGTACAGTGGCACACAACTCCTCCCACCTGCTCCATGTTCCTTCTATAGCAGTGTGCATCAGTGGTTCCTTTGGAAACATCACTTTATTCAGTGGTAAAAAAAGTTCACATCATTTGCACAAGTCTCCCTGGGTGTTAACAGAGGAGCTCCCTGATGAAGCCAACCCCCCGGTCTGCCAACATTTCCCACTTCTACTAAGATGTGCTCAGTCACAAGCTACATTTTTCAAAACTTCAACACTACGGAGCTTAATCCCACACCTCCTGAGAGTACTCACAACTGCTGAAACTCACACGTGTTCCCATTTTCTGCTAAAAGCCACTCCAGGCTCTTGAAGCATCTCACACCCACCAGTGACCACTTCTCACCTAATCAATGTGTTGACCTTGGCCACATCAATATCATACAGCTTCTTGACAGCCTGTTTGATCTGGTGCTTGTTTGCCTTGACATCAACAATGAAAACCAAAGTATTGTTATCTTCTATCTTCTTCATTGCTGACTCTGTGGTCAAAGGGAACTTGATAATGGCATAATGGTCCAGCCTGCAGGAGAGAGACCCTGTGGTTAACAGGAGGCTGGCAGATGCTGTCTCTGCGCTTCAGGGGCTTTCAAATACCACAGGTACCATCTAAGAAAGTTTGGGGTACATCAGTTACCAAAAGAAGTTATAATCACAAACTCTCAGGCTTTGGTCGCTTGAAATCATCACCTGCACCCCAAACACTTCCCCCCTGCTGGTGCTCTGCCACCAAGGTGTGGCTCAGCTCCCAGGGCAGCACACTGCACTGTCACCCTGGGACCTGCAGCAGGGCACAGGTCCCCACAGCAGCCCACACATAGGGCTGCTCCCACCCTGCAAGCCCTGCAGCAGGGCAGAGCCCAACACCCCACACATACTTGTTTCTCCGTGGGGCACTCTTCCGGGGGTACTTGGGCTGCCGTCGTAGTCGCAGGGTCTTGGGCCTGCGGAAGGTGGGCGAAGTGCGGATCTTCTTCTTCTTGTGACTGTGGACCCCCTTCAGGACGGCCTTCTTGGCCTTCAGCGCCTTGGCTTTTGCCTCTGTCTTCGGAGGCACAGCTACAACGACAGCTCAGTCAGCACAGCCAGGATTTGCAAGACCAGTATACACTCCCCTGCCTGCCCTAACGGGCCATGGCCTCCCTTGTCACACAATGCAACGAACAGGAACTCTCCAAGCACTCCACGCTCCCTCATCCAACCAGGCCCAACCCCAAAACGCCCAACAGGGCTGAAGTTTCCCCTTTCCCCCCCGCCCTCAACAAACCAGTCCCCCACCGCACCAACGGACGGGAGCACTCATTCCCTCCCCCAGCTCCCTCACCCCCCAACAGACCCCAAGAGTTCCAGCACCGAGATGGGGGTCCCACCCTCGCTCAGATAACTGGGCCGGGCCCGCCGCTGCAGGCCTCTCCCGCCACCTCCACGTGCCCGCGCCCAGTACCGGGCTGCAACCCTCCCTCAACCCCCACACCGCCTCAGCCCGGCCCTCCCCACTCCCCCACGTACACCCGCACCCGGGGGAGCCCTGCACACGACCCCACCACCCGC